AAGGGACATTTACTGTTCAAAATAATAGTATTTTAAATTTCACAGGAACTCTAAACATATGCATTTGAAAAACTTGAGTTACTATAGAAGCTTCCCTGTGTGCCCACTGTGCCTGCCTTACACCCAAGTACAAAATTTTATCAGCTCTTCTATTTTGTCTGCATAAGGCCTCTGCCTATGGAATCTGCTATATGTTCTTCCCATAAGAGAGAGTTCATTTTGTTTGAAAAATAAAAGCATTTTTATCTTTCTTTTTTTTTTCAAAACACTGTAATGAATTCATTCTAGTTTATTCCAATTGTAGTCAAGCTGACAAAAGTAGCAATCACGCATGCCATGGATTCAATCTTCATGAAGGAACCAATTTCATTTTTACTTTAGAAAAGTATGAGCCATAGACTGGATTAAGTCACATATGACATTACATTGAGAAAACTTAGTCACGATGCAAAAATATTTGCTGTGACCTCTGTAATGTTTTCAGCATGCTGTAACTGCTCAAGCAACACAAGCATTTAACTTAAATTCATTTTGCCTTGATGTTCCAAGCTCTGCCTTAACCTTGCTAGAGATGTCTGGTACTAAGTTATGAAAAATAGGCTTGCATTAGCAGCAAAGAAAGGAAAGTGTGAAATTGGTAAAGTCAATGTTTTTTTTTGCACAATTCCTGCTCTAAATCATTTGTTTTCATGAGAACTTCCAATGACCTTAAGGAAGGATTGCAGATATTTTAGTCTATTCACAAGAACTGTTCCTCTCTAGAAAATTACACCTTTAAATTCTTAGATCTTTATTCCATAATTGTTTGATCAAGAAAATGAATTTTGGCTATGAAAACTTGGTTAGACTTTTCAACTTTCCTATAATTTATTTAAATATCACTTTGAAATTAAATGGTACTAAAAATGGGATAGATGTTCCTGTAGGCACATGGTACCATACCACAATTATTTTTACTGCAATTCTTTCCAAAATTATGAGTATAGAACCACTAAACTGATCAAAGTATTTCAACATTTTTCCCTTGCCACAAAGGAACACAAGTTTGGTCCACCCAAAGGAAAATGGCTATATATAGGGAACAACCACCAGGAAGAAAAATCTGCACACAATTAAAATCATCATTTCTATGCAAATGAAAATTGCCAGCCATGTGTTTATAAGTTGATCTTAACGTCTCAGGTAAGATGCATTTACCACGCAGTCACCTCTCTGATCTTCACTCTTAATGTCTTGGCCTGGATTCTTTCATCAGAACATGGGTTTTGCATGTTGAACCTGAATAAGTGAGATGCAGAAATATGGAGATACTGATGCATAGAACGTTCATAAGAAAAGCAGCACTGAACATGATCGCTCTACAAGGTCTACCTGCAGCGACACCGGGGTTGCTGAGCATTGAGAAGGAGACAGGAGTCTTAAGAGATGCCCCATGTTTTCTTAAATCCAATAAAATTTTTCCTAATGTTGTTGATAAAACCTGGAATGAGACTGACTGTTTAATATTATCTTAAATTATCCATGCAGATATGCTAAGATGTGGTGACATGTGTAGACTTAAAGGAAGGGCTCCTTGTGCTTTTAAAAGCAAGATTCACTGGTGACTATACTATGAAAATTACTCAGATTTGCATTCAGATATCTCATTCCAGGTTCTAGCAAATGAACACATGCTTAGCCTTTGGGACAGAAAACTGACCTTTGTGACAGCATGCTCTGATTTTAGCAGTTTATCTTGATTTCTCTGGATTTCAGATGCTTTGGAAGCACTGCTAAAATGTAGCTTCATGGACGAATATGGCAGTGCATACATGCTACTCCAGAATTTGGGATCCCAAGGCAGGGAGAGGACAACCAGGCTACATACCAAGACTTTATTTCCAAAAAAAATTGTAAGTGCCTTTAGAATACACAAGTGGAGCTGGGGGATGTAATCAGTAAGGTACTTGTCTGCACAAGAATGAGGAACAGAGGGACAATCAAGTTTAGTACACTCTATTTAAATATATACACACATATATTGGAGAGTAATGACACCTAAGTTAATGATTGACCTCAACAGGCATGTGCAAACATGTGAACACACAAAAAAGCTTAGAAACACACACACACACAACACACACAATCATGTAATTGCATGTTCAAAGGTGCATGCACACAAAGCACACATAAATACACACAGACATGCACTTACAGGGACACACACACACTCTAATATCCTAGTGCACTTGTCCATGCTAATATCAGTCAACCCACACATACACATGCACACATTGATCCACACCTACATAACTACATATGCACATGCATAAGTGTATGCTCAAACGCATATACATTTGTACATCCTTATATAAGTGTGCACTCACACAACATGCATGTAGGCAGTCATGGAAGTGGGCTTGCATACAGACATGCATAACCAAAATGTTGCATGCACAAATGTATTGCACACTTTCATAAGTGCATATGCAGATACATGTAGGCATACACATACACACCAAGTGAATACAAATACATGTAGGAGCATTAGTACACACACATGAATGAAAGAGTGTAAATACCAACACATGCATGAGGTCATACCAATGTAGAAAGATCAATGAACCACTTGTGCACATGCTTGTACCTACACACACTCACATGAAAACACATATGAGTGAACATACAAAACATGTGTGCTCATGCATACAAACACACACTCAATTGTGGACGTGAATGTGCATAAACACACACATGTTCTCTCAAATGTACATACTTATGCAAGTGTCCACCTATTTCTGTATCATTCTCCACTCTCACCCACCTCTTAAGACAATAATAATATCTTAATTTTTTTCATTCTTCTCATTAAAAAACTAAATCCAGCTTGCAGTGAGAATTGGTGTTTGCATTCCCAAACTTGCACTAATCTCAGAAATCTTTTGAACAATGAACATATTGTGTGATGTCATTCCTTTTAATGATTATTTTTTAACTGCACTTGGAAAGAAATAAGTTTTACAAACACTTTAGTAACCACACTTTGTGCACTTCCAGATGATATGATTTATGTCTAGCTGGCATGTTTTATTAATTAGAGTGAGAGGTCATTTGCCTGAAGTAGCAATTATTGAAGTATATCCCGCAGAAGGCAAGCATTGTATGAGAAAGTGATGCATGCTACTTTGCATAGCCAGGTCTGAACTGTTCAAGTCAGCAGGTTGTGCACTCAACTTAATTACTTTTTATGACAAGCCAGAGAGATAGACTTCTGCCTCTCTTTTTACAGGCCAGTAATCAGAGGCTCTGAAAGTTTTGATAATTTCCACATCCAACAACACATAAATGGAAATCGGTATTGTAAATCAGGTGTTTTACCTCTAAAGGCTGTTTTCTTATTATTGCCATGGAAGGCTGTCAAATGAAGTGTGGTCAGGCACAGGGGTTCTCAGGAAAACATGTGATGAAAATTTCTAGCAATAACTTTAAATTCCTGCATAATAATAAACCTCATTTAACAGATTTGATTCTCTTTAATTAGAAGTACCACAGTATCATGTTGAGGAAACAACAAAACGCAATAGCAATCTGTAGTTTTATTTTTCCTCAATCAATATTTGTACATGTTTATATGTAACTGATATTGTACATGTTTTGCCTTTTAGCTATGGAATACAACTGACTGCCTGCTGCTGGGTCACTTTCCCATGCTTTGTGAATATTTACTGGGCTACAATTTAAAGCCACCATTGTTTTTAGATGTGGCCAAACCACTAAGCTCTTGCCAGTGGAATGTGGGTGAATATGATTGCCTCATTTCCAGGCACGGTCCACAAATTTTCTAGATGGCTACACCCAAGCCCATGGGAGCCAAGGAGACTCTGTGAGTCTGAATTCACAAATAATGGTGTGGGCCAAGATTCAAAACATCTGCAGATGCAGCAGCATCTTCCATAACAAACAGACAAGTGTTATAGGAGTTGAGGTGACTGGATGTCTGACTACACAGAAAACAGTCCTGATTCAGTGTCTGAAGAGCTCTCTGCATCATCATGTTGCTCTTGTGTGAATAAATATTGTCTCTGCAGTATTAAGACATTAATATATGAAGAAAATAAGATAATTTAACTAATAACGTTGTGTTTGGTCCATTTAATGCTGTTAATTTTCTTTTATTCCATTTTTCTTACTTTTTTATTTCATTTTATTTTCCAACCACAGTTCTCCCTTCCACCCTCCTCTTGACCCCCACCTCCTCCTACCCTTGTCACCTCCTCCATAGGCCACCCCCAGTCCACTCCTCCTCACAGATAAGGACCCCCATGAGGAATCAACAAAGTCTGTCACAATAGTTTGAGACAGAGACAGGCCCCTCACCCATGCATTAAGATTGAGCATGGCATCCCACCATAGGGAGTGGGCTCCAACAAGCTAGCTCATGTACCAGGTTTGTATCATGGTCCTACTGTTAGGGGACCCTCTGATAGTCTAAGCTTCACAACTGACTCCCACATCTGTAAGGCATAGTTCAGTTCCCGGGCATCTCCACAATTGTGGGTCTAGAGTTCATGAGTTTCCACGAGCTTGGAGCTGTCTCTATAGATTTTTCCATCATGATTTTGACCTCTCTTGTTCATATATTCCCTCCTCCCTCTCTTCAGCTGGATTGCTGGAGCTCAGTCTAAGACTCCTAGCAATAGTAGAGAGGATGCCCAAACTGGCTTACACCTGTAATCAGATTGATGATACCCCAACTGTCATCTTAGAGCCCCATCAAGTAATTATCGGAACCAGATGAGATGATCCACAATGAAGACCCAGGCTACTCATTTTCTTTTGTGGATGATAGGTAAGCAGCTTGTTTTTATGTTGCAAATTTAACCTACAAGTAAAGGCATACAAAAGAACTTTCAGTCTATGATTTATTTTTAATTTATTCCTTTTTCATACATTATATTCCAATTGCAGTTTCTCCTCCCTCTACCCCTCCCAGTCCCACCCACCACCTTCCATCTCCCCCAGATACACTGCTTCTCTATTTCTCCCTCAGAATTCCAGTGGTATCAACCAAACATTGCATAACAATTTACAATAAGACTAGGCACAAACCCTCATGCATGTTTTTTATATATATAGGACTATACCCATTATCCAATGCCTATATAAATGCTATTAAGTACACAGCGAGTATATATAGGGATGGAAAATAAATATATCTGCCATTAACTCTGGCAAGTATAATTCTAGGCTTGGTTCCCGACACAGAGTTCTATTCACTTAAATGCTTATTGCTAATGCTATTTTTAATATTTTTAGTTTTCATTTTAGCTCTATTATTTCCAGTGATTTGCTATAAAAGTATTAATGAATACAATTTTTAAAAATTGATATGATATTATTTAGTCAGTTATTTAATTTCTTACAGTCTATAAAGAATGGCTCTATGATTTGAAATAATTTATGCATAAGAAGTAGTCTTATTAGTGTGAGTACAATTTAAGGACTAATTTTACAATGGGCAGTATTTCTTAAGGAATGAATGAAGTTATGAGACATCTATCTTTTTTTGTAGCATTAACCTTTCTCCCTCTCTATACTGACATCATTCCGTGGACACTCCATTCACATGGTTTAGATGATATTCATTACAAAGCTTTATCATACCCTGCAGTTAAGCAATATCAACATAAAAAATACGTCTCCCCTGGAAGGACCAGCCACAAAGTCTCTGAAACCCTTCGAGTCACTGCTCATAGGACCAAGGACTATTTCCAAACCATCCCCATGCCATGAGATGAATTCTTCTGATTGGCCAGCTTGATGCGTTTGTCATTCTGGGGGAAGAGGGTTGAAGTCAAGGGTTCATTACAGTACATCATCACATTAGACAATGCAAAGAGAAGGAGATCGTGAAAGGAGGCAAAGCTAACTCTGTCTGCATATGTAGACATGTTGCCACGTATGTTTATTACAGGTAACCACAGTTGTTTATTCAAATGTTCATTATAGTATTGTTTATACTAGAAAATATTCATAATTTCTTATTGAAGAATAAGACAAGTAATTAGTAATATACCAATAATATTTGAGGATGTACAAGCAACAGAGTATGTCATATAATATTCTTGATGTACTAATGTGATGGCTAGTTTCATATCAACTTTACAGGGCCAAAGATGCTCAGTTATCTGGTCAAGCATTCTAGATGCATTTGTGAAGATGTTTTTAGATAAGATAAATGCTTAAATATGTAGACTGAATAAAACAGATTGTTCTCCCCAACATAAGTGTGTTTCAGCAATCTGTTGAATGATTGACTAGAACAAAAATTTGTTTTTTCTAGATTGCTGTCCATAGCTCTTCTCTTCTGTTCTTACCTTCAGTGTCAACCCAAGTCTCCTACTTGCTGACTGACAGTGATGTAAGTCTTCAACCTCTATAACCATATCAATTAATTTGCATTACATAAATTAAAATGTTTGTTTCTCAGTTAATTAATCTTTCATTTTTGAACTCTAGTCAATTTATTTTTAAATGCTTTAAACTATATTTCACAAATATATTCTGGAGTAACTGAAGAGACAGAAACAATAGAACATATAGTTATGTATTATTAGTAAAGGGAAATCCTGGAAATGAGTCATTATGTTGTTTAGTCATTGTGCAACCACCACCAAGTATATTCATACAAACCTAAATGGCATAGGTCAATCCCTCAATGTGATATATTGATGCAATCAACAGACATTACAAGCATCATATGGATGTAGCTTCTCTAAGCACAAGATACAGTACTAAAGGATAAAAATTGACTTAAACTTATCATATACCTGTACAAGTACTCAAATAATTTTAGATACAGTTCATCATATACAAATGAAAATGAACACTCATCAACACACACATTTCCTTTCTTTAATACATGGTAAAGTTATGTAACAAATAGATGTTTAAAAGTAAATCTGTCTATGACTGCCTATTCAAATGGATACACATTATTTTACAGAAGTCTTATTGCAAGTAAGCATGATCCTTTAAAATAATGGTAAAATTTGCAGAATAATAATCTTGTAAGTGATGTTACTTTTGCTAACATTGGTAAGTATCATGCATTAAACACAGTTTCTACTCTGTATTTCTATATGGTGGAACACTAGGTTTGCTTATACCAAATATGTGAAAATGCATCACTGCACAGCATTATAAGCAGGTCACTGTCCCACTAGAGGCCAGAATTCCTTAAGTGCTCTGGAAACTTAGATGAGCTTTTTGCCTGTATTAATGAATTAAAGGACACCAGGAAGGGTATGTGACTGTGTGGGGGTGTATATAGCATTAGAAGAACTTACCAGGAATAAAAATGCATGATTGCAGAGGACTAGAAGTCTCATGGAAAGTTCTCTATGATGAAAAACCAAGCAAGCCAGGAATATGGCTTAATCAAAATCCCGAAGCTTCAGAACTAGGAAGAAAGAGAATAGTATATTTATGTTCAAAAATAAAGACATGAAGCCTCCAGGAGACACTGATTCTGGATTCTTGGAGTCCAAATGGATCAAAGACATCAACTTAAATCCAGCCACACTGAACCACTTAGAAGGGAAAGTGCGAGGTAGCCTTGAATAAACTGGTACAGGAGACTGCTTCCTGAACATAATACCAATAGATCAACAATTAATAAATGGAACCTCCTGAAACTGAGTAGCTTTTGTAAGGCAAAGGACACAGTCAACGAGACAAAAAGGCAACCCACAGAATGTGAAAAGATATTCACTAACCCCACAGATGACAGAGGACTGATTTCCAAAACTTATGAAGAACACAAGAAGCTAGTCACCAAAATACCAAATAATCCAATTAAAAATTGGGGTACAGAACTAAATAAAGAATTCTCAATACGGAACTCTAAAATGGCTGATAGACACTTAAGAAAGTGCTCAACAAATCAAAACAACTCTGAGATACCATTGTACTCCTGTCAGAATGGCTAAAATCATAAACACCAATGACAGTTTATGCTGGACAGGATGTGTAGAGAGGGGAACTCTCCTCCACTGCTGGTGGGAGTGCCAATTCTTATATCCACTTTGGAAATCAGAGTGGAAGTTCCTCAGCAAAATGGAAATCAGTCTACCACAAGATCCAGCAATTACACACTTAGGCATATACCCAAAAGATGTGCATTCATACAACAAGGACATCTGTTCAACTATGTTCATAGCAACATTATTTAAAATAGCCAGAACCTGTAAGAAACCTAGATGCCCCTCAACTGAAAAATGGATAAAGAAAATGTGGTACATTTTCACAATGAGGAACTACTCAGCGGGGAAAAAATGGAATCTTGAAATTCACAGATAAAAGGATGGAACTAGAAGAAACCATCCTTAGCAACGTAACCCAGTCACAAAAAGTGCATTTTAGACATAGAGCAAAGGATTATCAGCCCACAATCCACACCGCCAGAAAAGCTAGGAAACAAGAAGGATCCTAAGAGAAACATATGTAGTTCCCTGGAGAAGGGGAAAGGAACCAGATCTCCTGAGCACATTGGGAGCATGGGAGGAGTGGAGCCAGAGTTAGGAGAAAGAGAAGGGGAGAAGAGTAAAGGAAAGGAGAACATGAGGGAGCAGGAAGGTTGAGTCTGGGGGGAGTGAGAATAGAGGAGAGTAAGAAAAGGGATACCATAATAGAGGTAGCCACTATAGGTTTAAAGAGAAATCTGGCACTAGGGAAATGTCCAGAGATCAACAAGGATGACCTCAACTAACAATCTAAGCAATAGTAAATATGTAAAACAAGCTTGTTTCTAATTTAAATTAAAAAATCCGAAAAAAATTCTGGGTTAGAGGGAGAGGGAGAGAATGCATGGGGAAGAGAACTTGCTTTTCCTCTGCCATTCCACTCCCTCAGGGTCCTCTCTTCCCATTGAATGATTCCCACCCACATTGGAGTAACATATCTTACAACATATGAGAACATATCTTACTCATCCCATCCTCGGACTACATATAAATATCCTCCAGCAGCATTCATATATAACACAGAAATATTGTGTTACCATGTCCGTGTTAATGTTACCTACCAACTTGACACAAACTAGAAATCATCTGAAAAGACTCTCGGTTGAATAAGTTTCTGTATCAGGTTGGTGTATGGACATGTCTGTGAAGAATCATCCCCATGGTTAATTGATGTAGCAGAGCTCCAATTCAATGTGAATGTTACCATTCTGTAGGCATATGGTCCTGGGATATGCAGGGAAGCTAGCGACCAAGTTAGAGTGAGCCATCAAGGAACATTCCTCCATGCTTCCTGCCTCCAGGTTCCTGCCTGACTTCCCTCATTAATGAACTGTCAACTGGAAATGTAAACTAAACTTCCCCAAGTGGCTTTCTTTGGAGTGGTCTATCATAGTAACAGGCAGGAAACAATAGCACCAGGTATCCAGATATCTCTTAATTGAGCCAGATTTTCATCTACCATGAATCATCAAAGTATAAGTATCTGCTTTTCATTAATAAGAACAGAATGCAGTAGGGAACCAGTTATTTTCATAAGGTAAGATAAGATTATTGAAAATGTATGAAATATTAAATTTGTGAAACATTTTTAAATTCCTATTTAGAGGTTGAGTTCTTAATAAGGGAAGAGAAAGGGTGTCATCCAGATTTCATTATCTGCAGTGTTACTCAGCAGTTAAAGAGAAGCTAAATGTCATTTAATATTAAAGTTAAAGAAAGTAAAGAGTCTCATCTCAGGCATCTCAAATTCAGAGAGACTGTTACATTTGTACCAGATGCATCCAAAGGAAAAGGACTTTTATATAGTTTCAAATTCCAAAAAAGGCTGACTAGAGGTGCACATTTGTGAACCACTAGTACATAGATTTTAGTTGAATCTCTAAGAATGTGTATATACAGTGAATCAGAGAACTCTGTACACACTGATGTGTAAGAGGAGAGGGTGGAAGGAAGATCCCCAAATTGTCAGAGGGAGAAGAAGGAGTGGCAAGAGAAATAGATGAGAGAGTAAGGACACCATTATGTCATCTAGAGAATAGAGAATTTCAAGAAAGAAAAAGTGTTGAGACTGCTATCTTCCTGTGTTTGCAAAATAAGTGCTTCCCTATCCTTATTACAACATTGTCAATGGTCCAGACATAACCATAGTTCCCACCCTTGTGTACTGTATAACTTTATTGACAGACTTTCTTTTGGAACCACTAGCCTCCAAATAATGATATGGAGATTTGATACTAGTTATTAAAGCTTGACTTTTACCTCAGGCTTGTTCCAAACTAGCTCTCATAACTTAAATTATCCTGTTTTTGTTAATCTACATTCTGCCATGTGGCTATTTACCTCTCCTTCATTCTATATGCCCGACTCCTTCCATGGCAGAGGGTGGCTGTTGGAAGCTGTTCACAAGAGGACAGAGATGCAGACTTCTGCCTGTAGCTCTCTAAGGCTTGTACTTCAGTCCTGCAGACAGTGGGTTCCCTGACCTCAGCAGTGGACAGCAAAGAGTTTGGCCCCCACACTCTTTGTGGGGTCCTGTTTTTCCAACCAATAAGCTGAATCTTTCTCATGTAGCCACTGGCTGCACAAAAACACACCTTTCCTTATTAAGAATTTGGCTGTAGGCAATCTAGAAGAGTGGTTTTCAACCTTCCTAATGCTGCGCGAACCTTTAATACAGTTCCGCGTATTATGGTGACCCCCCCAGTACCACAAAATTATTTCATTGCTACCTCATAACTATAATTGTGCTACTGTTGTGAATTGTAATGTAAATATATGTTTCCTATGGTCTTGGGTGACACTTATGAAAGGGTTGCAACCCATGTGTTGAGAAACACTGTTTGAAGACAACCCTCATTCTCTTTTCCATTAGATGGGGACAGCCCTACCTGCTGTCTCAGGCCGAAGTCAACAGCAGTTCCCCCACATTCAGGATTAAAATGTGGATTATCAAGTCCTTTGAAGAATCTTAAGATTCTGTACTATTCTTTAACGGGGACTAATTCATTCTCATTCTCAACCCCCATCACCACATCTCTCCCTTCCCCTTTCTCCCTTCATCCTCCCTCCCCACCACACACACACTCTTTCTCCACTTTTCAAAAATTGGCTGCCCTCAGCTCAATTTGGCATCAAAAAACTATGACCTGGCTTTTAATATTGGAAAATTTCCTTTTCTCTTTTCCATGCAATAAAGCTTTCTATAGATGTGCAGGAAGATGTCGCCACTGTCTTCTCCACTAACAAGGGCTTCACGTAAATGATGTTAAATCCAAATAATTTAGTGAACTGAGCAGCCTTTACAGATAATTCAGCTCTTCAATTTAAATAAGAAATTGAGTAATCTGTAGCACAGCTCGAGAACAGTCAGTTCTTGGCAGAGTAAAAGGCAGCCTTGTTCTCCAGCCAGCATCTCAGTTCGGGTCTTTCAGGAAACACAGGCAGTAGCCACACTTCCTCAGAGAGCACCTGAAAAATAAGAGCAGTATCCACATACCTCAAGGACGACCTGCAAATCCCACCAGTAACCACACTACACCCTGGGGGCACCTGCAAATCCGAACAATAGCCATGCTACCTCAGGGACCACCTGCAAATCAGAGCAAATTCAAATGGTCACTCTACAGACAAGTGGCAGAACACATCAATTGCAATTTTATTGAAACAGCAAAAATTTAAGAGTATATGGCTTTCATATACAATCCCAACCAAACTGGGCATATTGATTATTTGACTGAGTCTTAAATTCCCAACAGGGGTCTTTTAAGGAGTCTTAAAAGTAATTATTAAAAACATGAATCCCATCCTAGGAAGTGGCATTTCCATGACTTTGCCACCAGTAACTGGTTGGTGGTAATGTTTTCTTTCTCTACAGATTTTCATACAACTCTTAGCAGGAGCTCAAGGCTTTCTGTAGTAGGGCAGTTATACCACCAGTTTTTGTCAACTCTGCTTGTATTTCCTATCCTCTCTGTTAGGTTATGAACAGAATGTAGACATGTCAAGCCACTTTTATCTTGACATGTAACAAAAACAATAAAAGGGAAGTCAGTAATAAATTTACTGGAGAAATATGTCAAATTTTAAAGACTGCATAGATTCTCTCTGGAAACTATGACCTTCCTTTCTTTCAAGGATTTAAAGTTATAAAGTCTTATTTTTAAAATAATCAGAAAATCTCTGGTACCACCAGCATGTCACTGAGTCATTGAGTCTGTCAGAAGAGCCCTAGATCGAAAGACAGATTAGCAAGAGAGAACCTGGCAAATGTGTGTACATTTTACATGTTACTAGACAGATCAGATACTTCCCTAAAGCAGAGGGAAGTAAGCATGCTTATTGTGGTAGGCCTGATGAAGAAGAGGACCACCATAGAGAAATGTGACCTAAAGATAACCTAACCAGAGGCAACCTACAGAGACTTATTTGATCAGATCATTTTAGCATCCGCTTGTGCTCTTTAGTCCCTGAATTTGGAAGACAGTTCTGGAAAGACAGGCTTAGGGTCTGTTTCAGGGAACAGTGGAAGGGAAAGGTGGGCATGGTCTTCCAGTCTCTACTGTTTGCTCAGTGCCCAAGGCCTCATTTGAGAGTAACAATCCCCGAATCTCACCAAAGCCATACTGACTTAATCAACATGCATTGACTTCCTCAAGTAGCCCCTAAAAATATGAATCTTGAAAATTATAAAACATTAAAGGAATAGACTTTTAAGTTCGTTTAACAGTTGTGGCTCTTCCTTTTACTGGCTTATGTTTTGGGCAAGTTGAGTGAATATTTAAGTCTTATTTCCTCTTTGATAAAATGGAGATGTCAACATAGTATATGTCACGAGTGTTTAAAGTGCTTTGTCATAGTTATAGCTGCTTCCTCATATTTTTTGCATGAATTTCCCTCATACCAGAGGGAGCCATATTAAGAGTTGTTTGTTCATTTGTAAATCCCTCCTTGCTGTAAATCCTTCACTTACTCTCCAAAACTGGAGAAATAACAGAAAAATATCTCCAGGCTCTGCCACTTGCTTAGGTCTCCCCATCGGGTCCCCATCATCGCTGTTCTCCTTTATGCCCAGAGCTCTACTGCTGGCCTTAGAGTCGTTCTGTTCTTTCATAGTTTCATCCTTAGAAAGGCTTTCATTATCTAAAGCATCATCTTTTGTAACCCAAATTGTCTCAAGTGAAATATCGTTTTTCCTCATCTCTTTCCCACTCAGTTATTGTAGTCAACACACATAAACACATGCACACCTCTCCATGGTGTTTTCATAGTACACCTAAATAAATTGTCTCACATTGACATTTCTAATTATTCATGGCCACAATGACAATGCATCAGATATAACACCAAATATATCAGGTACCTTATTATATCTTCTACCCCAAACAAATCTGAGATACTTTTATTATTCTTATTTTACAAAAGGGAAGAAAATTATTCTAGCAGAAAAACACAGTGAGCAATGGATACAGTCCAGGGAGGGAATTGGTGGAACAGATTATGGCACAAGTACAAGAGAACGCTTTTCAGTATATTAAAGGAATAAACAAGCTCTGTCTGTAGGTATATGGAGTTATCTCTGAGTTTTTAATGCAAGGTATCTAAAATTTATTAGAGAAAACATTGAAAAGAAAAAATCAAATAATATTCTTCAATTGATAAGAGATATCCCTAATGATTGAAAGGTAAATATATGCTAGTATGCAAGGTGGTTTACGCTTATTCACTCCCACAATATCCTCTTTTGTTAACAGTCCCTCCTTTCCTGATCCCAGTCTTCTTCATAATCGTCCCTCTTCTACTTCCTTCCTTTCTTTTTTTATAAATCTAGATACCACATATGAAGATACAAACACACATGCCATGTTTCTCTTCCTGGATCTGTCTTATTTGACTTAACACTGTGATCACCAGTTCTATCCATTTCCTGCAAACTACCTAATTCCCTTCTTCTGTAAGTCTGACTACAACTTCAATGTGTGCATATGCTATACGTTTATGGCACACTCATTTGATGGACAGCAGGACTGATTCCATCCTTTGGCTGTTTTGAACATCTTAGCAATACATAGGGTGTTCAGACATCTCTGTTGTGTGCTGATACTGATTCTTCTATCTACCTGGGGAGTCATTCAGCAGAATCATGTGGTGGTTTTGTTTGGTTGTTTGGTTGCATTTTTCTTTACTCCATATTGACTCCACTAGTTAATAGTCTTAATGGTACAAGAAGTTTCCTTCTCTTACCTTTCTTTCAGTATTTGTTTTTGATTCCATCATGCAAGCCAATCAGGTTGGGTGACACATAATCTCAAGGTAATCCTGATTTACAATTCCATTGACGGATTAAGACATTCAGTGTGTTTCTCATATATTTAGTGGACGTTTACCTCTTTTGAGAAGCATCTGTGCAGTTCATTTGCCCCCTTGCTGACTTTGCTCTTTTCATATTTGTTTGATCACGTGTTTTGAATTCTTTTTGAATATCAATACCTCATTGAACAAAGACCTGGCAAAGATTTCTCCTCTCCTGTCATCTACCTTTTCACTCTGTTAACTACTTCCTTGTAGTTCAGAAGCTTTCCAAATTCATTCACTCCTGTTTGTCTTCTTGCTATGCTATCAATGCTTTTAGAATCCTGTTCAGAAATTCTCCGATGTAAAATCTCCAGGGATTTTACCTGCGTTTTCCTATAGTATTTTCAGAGCTGGGGCCTTATGTTAAAGAATTTGATTGACTTGGAGATAATTTTTGTTCAGGGCAGAAGTTAAAGATCTCCCTCTTATTCTTCTACATAAGGATACCTAGCTTTAAAGTTATATTTGTAGGAGAGACTGTTTTCTCAAATGCATTTTTAGAATAAAATCATGGAGTCTGCATACATTTATATTTTACTTTCTTATGTTAATTGTTGCATTGGGTGTTTTGGAGTACCCTGCTGTTTTTGTCACTATGGCTCTGTGGTGTAATGTGAATCCAAGGATTGTAGCACCACTGCACTCAGCTTAAAATCACTGTACCTTTTGGGGAGTTTTTGTGCCTTCTTGTAGGATTTTCTTTCCTACTAGAATAACCTCAAAAATTTTAGTGGGAGTTGCATTTATACAACTTTCAGTAATATTCAATATTAACATTGCTGTCCTCTTGTATATAAGACAGCAATTCAATATGGACTGCTAATCCATGTACATGGGAGAACTTTTCATCATTCTATTATCTTCTTCAGCTTTGTTTTTAGAGATTTCAGGTTAGAAGTCTTTAGCCTCCTTAGATTTATTCCTAAATTTCTTTCTTTGTTTTAGGCTATTGTGAGTTTGATGACTCACCTGGTTTTTTTTCCTCGGAAGTTTCATAGGGATACATAGCAAACATACTGTTTTTCATGTTGGTTTGTACTCTGTTGCTTTGCTGAAAGTGTTGATCAGGTCTAAACAACTGGAGTCTTCAGAGTTTTTCTGATTCTTATTGTGTGGAAATAGAAATATTTTATTTTCTCATTTCCTATTTGTATCACTTTTATTTCTTTTTCTTCCCTTATTTTTTAGCCTCAGGGTTTAAGTACTGCATTGAATATGAAAAGATATTATGGGCAACACTTTTGTCTCTCTTATTCCTTATTTTATAATAAATAATCCCAAAACTTTTTCATCTAGTATAATGGTGACTATATTTTTGTTTTACACTGAGGAATATACTTTCCAGTCTTCATTTCTTTAGGGTTTTTATCCTCTTTATTAATTGTTATTCAATTAGTATGTGCTTGTATAGTTTCTTATTTTCTCTTGCTGGTGATATCTAGTTTATTCTGTTATAAGACCCAATAAATTATTTCCCTTCTTGGATTATGATTTCTTTACTCCCTAAAATGTGTCCTGATTTGAAAAAAAATTCATGTGATTCAAAAGAATAAGTATTTACCTACCTGATGAATAGAAAGTTCAATGTCTATTCTATAGATGGCTATTAAGTATATTCGCCAAAGTAGCAATTTTACTCTGAGACATTTACTTGTTTTTTGTCTTGATGAACTGTTATTAAGAATATTGAATGATGCTCTAATACTATATATGCTTAATTATAGATATCTGTCCAATAGTATTAGTTTCATAAAAATTCTGTGATGCAGATGAATATGTGTTTATAATTTCTATGTGCTTATGATGGACTGTCACCATTGTCAGTGTGCAGTGGCCTTCTTTATACATTTTATCTTGAAGTTTGCTTGGTCACATGTAAGCATGGCTATTCCTGCTTGTTTTGGGATTCCATTCACTTAGAATATAATTTTCTCACTTTTGTTTTCAATGTGCATGTCTTTCCCAATAATATAAGCTTCTTGCAAAAATCAATGGTTTGGTTCTTGATTTTTTTCTCAATATATGCTTTTATTTAAATTAGAAACATGAATGTTTCACATGTCAGTCCCAGCTCCCTCTCCCACTCCTCCTCCCTTGTCCCTCCACCAGTCCCCCAGCCCCCCCCATCCCCACATCATTCCCCAGGGAGGGTGAGACCCTCCTTGGGGGGAATCTCTAAAGTCTGTCATTTCATCCAGGGCAGGACCTAGGCCCTTCCCCATGTGTCCAGGCTGAGAG